GCCTACTTCGTCACCTTCGAACGAATTGCTGAGCAAGAGCCAGCGGCTGCAGACCTTCTAAAGTTGATTGTCTTTCTCGACCGCCAGAACATACCAGAGGAACTCCTGACTCAGTCTAACCTGCCCGGTATGGATAACCCAATTGAGTTTCGGACGGCTATTGGAAAATTAATTGGCTTCTCAATGATTACCAAAAAGCGAGGCGATATACCTGTATACGAGCTTCATCGTCTAGTACAGCAATCTATCCGGGAATATCTCACGGCTGACGAAGTCACTCACTGGAGAAACACCGCACTCGAGGTGATGTGGCGATGCTTCCCTCAATATAAGCATGAAAGGCGACACGTTTGCTCACTTTATCTCCCACACGCGCTCGCTGTAACAAAAGGATCCGTGTATCCTATTGATGGCTCTCTCTATTATCGCATGGCGGTATATCTCTTTTCCGCAGGTTATGACAACGATGCAGAAATACAAATAAGACGGTGTATTGATTTCCGAGGGGAGGTCGGTGATAAAGATGTAAGCAAGGAGCGTATATCCGAGCTCAATCTCTTGGGAACTATCTTGCTTCATCAAGGAAAGTACGACGAATCAGAAGAGATATGCCGGCGCGCACTGAAGGATGCGGGGAGGATTCTGGGGAACGACCACCAGAAGACATTGGCTAGTGCCAGAGATCTTGCAATTGCGCTCACGTATCAGGGGAAGTACGACGATGCAGAGCTAATTCATCGGGACACATTGAAAATTGAAGAGGAGAAGTTTGGGGTGGATGATCCCAGGACCTTTGATTCTATGTACCATTTGACAACGGTATTGGAGAAGGTAGGGAAGTACAGTAAGGCGGAAAATTTGCATCGGCGGGTAGTAGAATCCGGCGGAAAGGCTCTGGGAGCAGAACATCCTGACACCCTCCGCAGCAGTGGGGGCTTGGCAGGCGTGCTCGGTCTCCAGGGTAAATATGCTGAGGCAGAGGCCATAGAGCGACGGATACTCAGCATCAAGGAGGGCTTATTCGGCCTACATCACCCTAGCACTCTCGTCACCATGAATGGCCTAGGATCGGCCCTCCACGATCTTAGAAGGTACGAAGAAGCAGAGGATATATACCGGCGTGCACTTGAGGGCACCGGAAAGAATGTGGGACCCGATCATCCCAGCATGTACCATATCATGTCCAACCTAGCTCTCACTCTAAATGAGCTAGGGAAGCATGATGAGGCAGAGAGGCTGCTACGGCGTGTGTTTGAAAACTCTCTAAAGGTCCTAGGACCAGATAAACCTGAAACCCTTCGCATGATGCGCAACTTAGCATCTGTTTTGCACGGTCGAGGGAACCTCATCGAGGCCCAGAGCCTGAACCAGCAGGCGCTGAAAATGACAAGTAAAACCCTCGGCCCTGAGCATTGCGATACCCTCACCAGCATGAATAACTTGGCGACAGCATTACGGGGCCTTGGACAGTACGAAAAATCGGAGGAAATGCAGCGGCGTGCAGTGGAAGGCAGAGAAAGGGTTCTTGGGCGGAAACATCCAGATACTCTTACTACTATTAGCAACCTAGCTCTCGTACTGGAGGACCTAAATAAATATCGTGAGGCAGAGGAATTGCACAGGCGGGCATTAGAGGGAAGGGAGGAGGTGCTCGGACCAGACCATCCCCACACCTTAGACAGTATCTCCTGTCTTGCCAGAGTGCTTCAATTGCTCGGAGAACGCGCGGAGGCAGAAAGACTGAATCGGCGTGCATTGGAAGTTAGAGAGAAATCGCTTGGGCCAGAGCATCCCGATACACTTCTGAGCATCAATCGCTTAATTACAGACTTGGTAGAGTTGGGTAGGAATGAAGAAGCCGAGAGCATGTATCGACGTGAACTCGAAGTTAGGGAGAGAACTTTGGGACCGGATCACCCGAGCACGCTCACAGTTGCTAATAACCTGGCCATCGCGTTCCGCCGCTGGGGGAGGCTCCCTGAAGCAAAGGAATTGCTCCGACGTACAATACAGATCGGGAAAAATGTCCCCGGGCCCGAGACCCCGCAAGTTCTCCTCTCTATCACCAACCTAGGTATAGTCCTTCAAGATATGGAGGAATACGACGACGCAGAGACAATGCACCGATCTGCACTACAAGTAAGAGAGGAAGCTCTTGGGTCCGAGCATTCAATGACTCTGCTGAGTGCCCACGAGCTGGCTAGGGCACTACGCGACCTGGAGAGGTATGAAGAGGCCGAGGAGATGCAGCGTCGAGCACTTGATGGTAGAGAGAGACTACTCGGACCCGAGCATCCCGATACTCTCGACAGCATTTATAACTTAGCATTACTCTTTCAGAAGCAGGGTAGAGAAGGCGAACTGGAGGAAATGAATCGGGATGCGTTGAAGCGCACAGAGAAAGCATACGGTCCTAGCCACCCGGACACTGTTCGCTGTATGTACAACCTTGCCTCGGTGGTCTACAGACAGGGCAAACACGTTGAGGCAGAAGAGTTATATCGACAGGTGCTGCACATCAGAGACAAGGCACTTGGGCCTGCCCACCCCGACACTCTTGATAGCGTCAATAAGCTAGCTGGCATTCTGGACCTCTTGAAGAAGTTTGAAGAAGCAGAGGAGGTGTACGAGCGCGCAGTGGAAACTGCCGAGAAAACTCTCGGACCAGAACACCCAGACACTTTAAGGTCTATAGCCCTCTTGGCTATGGTGCTATATCACCGGGGAGAAGTTGCAAAGGCGGAGAAGATGATCCGACGTGCACTAGAAGGTCGGGAGAAAGCACTCGGGCCGGAACATCCCGATACCCTTACCAATGCTCAAAACCTGGCCTTTGTTCTGCGTGAGTTGGGAGAGAACGAGGAAGCGGAGAAGCTGTATCGTCGTATCATAGAACACAAAGAAAAAGCACTTGGATTAGACCATGAGGACACTCTTCGGTATGTCTACAAGCTGGGGAGTGTTCTGCATGATCTGGAAAAGTATGAGGAGGGGGAGAAGATGTTTCGAGGCATAGTCGAGGTCCTAGAGAAAACTCTCGGCCCGGAACATCCCGAAACCCTTAGCGCCATCTCCAACGTCGGCTCCATGCTCCAATCTCGAGGAAATGATGCCGAAGCAGAGAAAATATACCGCCGTCTCCTCGAGGCTAGCGAGAAGACTTTTGGGCCGGATGCAATTGAAACCTTAAGGGCTACAAATGCTATTGCCGTTGCTCTCTTCTTTCAAGATAAAGTAGTCGAGGCAGAGGAGTTGTCTCTGCGCTCATTACAGGGCTATGAGAGGGAGCTAGGGCCAGAGCACCCAGAAACTCTCAAAGTGGCTGATATTCTTGCCGCCGTACTCCAAGGCCTCAAGAGGTACGGCGATGCAGAAGAGCTATACCGCCGATCACTAGATGCTAGAGAAAAGACCCTTGGTTTCGGCCATCGCTCCACCTATACCACGCTTTGTCGTCTGGGTGCCCTTCATGAAGAGCAGGGACAGTTTTTGGAGGCGGAGCAATATTACCGGCAGGCGGTAGAAAGAATAGGCACAACTCTAGGAGAAGACCATCCCGATTTTGTCCAATGCTTAGGGTTTTTGGCAGAATTGGAAGAAAGAAAGTTGGCCAGCCAAGAGCCGGACAGCTGTGGAAACATTCAAGTGGCTGCAAATATTGGAACCGAAGTCTCGAAAGTCGGGTCAGATGGCACGGAAAAGCCCAGAGTTAATCGGAGCGGTGCCCCGGACGGGCCGGGTTGGGCTATTGGGCTAATGCGGAGAATGGGTTTGTGGAGTGGAGGCTGGAGTCGTCGGGGAAGAGCAAAGCCTAAAGTGCTGTAAAGCTGCGTGCAAAGTTTCATGAGGTCGTTAAAGTTTCGATGGTGGATTCACTTGTAATTAGAATTCTGTGGGTAATCCTGACAGAAGCTATGCTGCTGACCTCGCAAAAGGTCTCGGTCCCACATTCCTTCCAGGCGCCGCACTCCTACAAATGGTAGACGCTTTTGTAGGTCCCGAGGGGAGGATTAGAGGGTGGTACCACTTCCCTTCATACTGTTGAAGGTTCTAGATGGATGTGGCTGGATTGGTATTGATTGTGGAAGGTTCGGTAGTGTGGCAGCAAGTTTAGATGTTTCATGGATTAGTGTGGAGGTTCAGAGATTGATGGGAGAGTTTCGTTAGACATGTCTCTCCTTTGTTATCATGGAAGCATATGGAGGAAAGAGCAGTATGCATGAAGAGATAGTGAAAGGTGTGGTAATCGATGGAAGGATCAGGATTCATTGTTTATGTTTTACTTATACAGCTGTCTTTACTGTTAGTTTGGAGGAGTGCGAAACGAAGTTGTGTTTTACCCTACCTCTCATTCTTATTCCTCTACCGCCACAGTTCTCCCCATATTCATTTAGTCCTTTACCGCTGCGTGACCAGCCATCCGCTGTTATCCATATTAACACACCCCATTATTCGCTGATCCTGCTGCTGTAAAAGTTAGGATAACCGGAGCATGTGCTATGTATATCGTTGGAGTAGCCGCCTCTCGTGCGGTCAAGATCGCATGCCCTAGGCCATACAGGGACCATCCTCTCCACCCCGCCTGATCCGTCGGGTGATAGCTTCGGAAATACGGTTCTTAGTCTGTGTGAGAGTACAGTAGAGTCTCTCCTATTAGTAGGAAGGGACGGGGATCTCGGAGATTACCCCCGTATATGAATCCTGGGTGTGCGGTGTGGAGGGGAGATGTTTTAATGACTTAAAATCTTCCCACGCCCGCGAATCTTCCCACTCCCGCGAATTGTTTGCACACACCATTGGTAGCTTAACTGGGAGTGAGGGTCGCAGTGCAGGTCCAATCTCACTCCTAAAAAGTTAGCTAGACGTAGGAGAGGTTAGGGATTGGGAAGTTCGGTTAGATGCTATAGGGGAGTTGCTCGTATCATAGAAGAGGGCGATTAAGTATTCTGTAGGTGTGTAGTGCTTAATTGATTTCTACTAGCTAACGGGCTGGGCGGAGCTGATGTATTCGCGGATGAATTTGGAAATTTGCTTTTTTGTGTATTTAAAATTTGGAATATACTCGCACTCCCTACTCAGGTTCTCTGAGCGGCTCCGGCTACGACTGGTTTGACCTCTGACCATTTGAGCGAGTGATAATAGGTGACTAATAACAAGACCGTGCCCGGCCCGCCCGAGACCTAATTCCCAAGCTGGCTCGTGAGTCTTGGAGGTCACTTAGGATCGGTTGATGGATGACCTAGCGGTAAATGGTCGGCTGGGTAAACTTGTCTGAAGCCTATTTTAGGAAAGAATAATAGAAGTATGAATAGCAGCCCCGCTCGCACTTCCTATTCTCACTGATGATAAGAATGGGTATATGAGTACATAGAAACGTCATGAAAGCAATGAGATTCTTTCCTGGATCACTAGATCCGTCTCAGTGATTCCGTGCATGTTCACATCCCTCCACACACTCTTGCAATAACAAATGAAGGACACAACCATGGAATCTTCTCACACAATCCTCCAAACTCTCAAACATTGTAAATATATATTCCACCACGCCCCAGTAACTTCCAAAATAAGCCATAACCTTGCACAACTGCGACTTAACAGTGAGGGGCACTATCCGCAAGCCATTCGCGTGCTGTTCATGACCCCTATCTCGTTTATTTAGGTCTCTTGCGTTTTCCCTTTATCGGTTTGCACCAATAGAACGTATCGTGTTCCCTGGTCCGAAAATCTCGGAAACCGAGTACTCAGCTCCGGCCGGTGCCAGATAGTCTCAGTAACGCAGTCTTCAGACAGTGAGTTGGTTGTAGAGTAGACTACTGGAGGCATACTTCCCGCAGAACAGTCTACCGAATCGCTGAGCGCTCGAATAAATGACAATTTAAACCAGTATTGACTGTGGTAAAGGGGGGAGATAATCACAGCTCTTAAGACAGACAACGCTCTCCGGTCACTTGATCCTTCATCGTCGTCCCCGCCGTCGGCACCTGCGTCACCATCCACCCCGCCCTTCAGCCGGCTTTTAGGAACGCTGGAAGAAGCAGGGTAGTAGATTGGAGGCGGTTGGTGCAATAGAGGGTATGGATATCAGTGGGGTTTGGCGGCGAGATATTGTGATAATTATCTAATTTGGGAGATGGTTCGCTCTTGGGTCTCAAGAGCAGAGCGTCACTATAGAGTGTTGCAGTGATATCTGCACTGTTGGAATTTTCTGATCCATTTCATATATAATTTTCCTTAATAACATCATCTAGGGCACATATTATGTATATTTCATTAATATTTTATGATAACAATTAGGGATTTTACTTGTGGATTTCTTATCAGGTTTTGGGGATATTTTCTTTATTTCATGCATCTCTTATGTACTGTTATCGGTCATTCAATTCAGAACTATTCCATAATTATTCTCTCATGCCATCTTAGGTTTCTACATACTTATTGGGATTTTGTGGGCAGGTTTTCGGGGTCAAGCACATTCACACTTATGCTTTTCCCTTTATTTTCTCTTATCATTCAATGGTTGCATACCAGTATATAAATTGATAAATGGTTACTGCCCACCTTGCTTAAGAGAATTGAGGACCAGAATACCTACCAATCTACCTTCATACTATCTTCCTCTTCACTTGGCATGCCCACTGTATATACTTCATATTGCATTGTAATTTTGTACAGAGTTATTAAGATTGTGCGATACCCCATATTTTGAACATGCATTATAGGAGGTTGTGATTGGGTTAGTCTGAGAAGGAGGCATTGGTACTGCGCCGATACTACCGGTAGTGGCCTTAAGTAGACAACTGAGCCGCGGTGATTCATTGATGAGCGGTGCCCGCACATGTTTGGCGTTGTGCCGTAATCGAGTTGCAACCTTTTCTCCAGGAACAAGCAGGTGTAAGAACCACATAGGGTTACTCCTGTTAGCTTCTCTTTCTGTAGAATTGTGATCCTGGAAATTGGTGATTGGGGGGGGGGGGGGGCGTGTATTGTGGCTAAGAGCCTGTATAACGGGATAAGAGAAGACTCGGTGGGGTAAACGTTAACAAGAGATGTGGGTTAGTGATGCTTTTGAGACTAATGCTAAGAGTAAGGATAACTCATGAGGGAGATAAGACAGCCGAGGGTGATAGATATAAGAACAGGCCCTTCGGGACCTCGAGGATCATAAAATTAGGCTATGTGTGGGTGAGAGTAACTTGAGATTGTTATCAACCTGCGAAACAGGTCTCTGGGAGATGTCCTATATATACAAAAACTTCTGTTCGGATAGAACAGGCATCTTTGCTGTCTGCTATACTCCACTATCCTCATCGCTTTCTTTGTTTCCATTCGTTTACGAACATCTCGGTGGTGTTCCTATTACACTAATCCTCACGGCTTCTACGGGAGCTAGAGATTTCTGAACAACCCCGGATATTCGTCTTCCGGGAGTTCTCTTTGTAGGGTATAGCAAGAACCTGTATCAACCCCTTAGAAACCCCAACCCCGAACATCTATTTTTCTCAACTAAC